CCCAACATATAGCTCAACAATAGCTAACCCAGCCACAAATGTGGATGAAAATCATCTACTTTGAAACGTTGAATGAAATTCCTCTTGAATCAGACCTTGTTGGTCTGTAAACCATCACCCTGCTGGAATGTGAGGATTGGAAAATTTTCTCATCAGAAAAATTTCATACATCACATACGGAATTGATAAAGATGGAAACGAATATAATATCACAGTGTGGAGAATATTCTAAACTGTGATAATATTGACTAATTTACGAAGGGTGGAGGTAAATTGTGTGTTAACCAATGATATCCTGTTTCAACCAAGATCTATACAGTATGTAATAGGTTTAGATGAATTCGATTCGGCCTCTTGAAGGATATACCAAGAAGCAAATTGAGTCGTTGGGAAAGTAAAACAAAGGAAATATATTAATTCCCAAAAAATTTGCGATAGGCAATTGTCTACCTATAGCCAGGTTACATTTTTAGTTCAGGCAATATTTATAATTTCTTCTTGTAGAAAAACCGATATAGTCTTTGCAAAATCACTTGAGCTTGAGACAGCTTGATCAGAAGAGATCCGTCATCACGACCACGTAGGGGGTAGGTAGCCGTGCGGACAGAGTGTTGATATTCTAATTCGCATTCGCTTGCCGGTCGTGGGTTCGATTCCCAACGACTGCAGAAATTTTTCTGATGGCCCAAGAAAGTGTTTGGGATCACACATTAAAAGGTAAGGCCCCCGTCATTGCTTGCTCGCACAAGACTCTCGAAGACTTCTGAGGGTTGCTCGTAAGGGGGCAACCGAATGAGGGATAGAACAATTTTAGAACGTGCCGCCGGCGATGTTTTTTGCTGAATTTGTCTAAAGTGAATTTGCAAAGACTATAATAATACTTAATATATTTTCACACCTTTTCTTCCTGCTTGTTTTTCATTTAAATGGATTAACCATTATGTTTTTCTACAAATTATTGATTATATAAATACTTATTGACTGTTGAGAGAGAGTGAAAATGGACTGTATATAAATAACCTTAAAATTGAACTTGGTGCCACTTCATACCTTGAACACGCCGGGTCTGTCGGCGTTTCCCGATTTTCTCTGGCTCCGATGGTCTGGACTCTGGAACCTGGATTCTGGATAATAAATGGCACGTGATGCACTTCACAAATTATGCGCGATCGCGACTTTGATATTGAAAAGAATATATTTGGCTTTGAGAGGCACAGGGGACTAGCGTTTTGTCTATGAGTTCTTAAGTGAGAGTGTTTCAAAATTGAGTGTGTCCGATCTTCGGGCGATTCCGTGGACGATATCTGAAGATACGAAGCTTTGCCAAGTACTCAAGGAGGGTAATTTGAATTTGAAAAATTGCATTATAATGGCTTGGTTCAAATAATATTTAGACTATCAATATGCTTAAATATAAAACATGAAAATGACAACACATAAAGCCGACATGGACGTGACATTGACTTTGAACATATTTTCTTCAAATCTCCTTCAATTGTTGTCTTATCTCAGTTATTTCATCAATAAATATCATCTTATAGAAGCAAAATATTCTGATACTATGATCTGCTACTCCAAACCATTAGTGCATCAGTATTTTGTGTACAAGCATACTGATCATATTCATCATAATATAATATCATGAAGAAAATTGAATATGAATATTCAAAATTGAATATTTTTTCATTTGATTTAGAGTTTACGGACTACTTGCTTGGATATAAGGGATGTCACCTTGATGGAATTTATCAACAAATCAACACAAAAATAAATACAAGTTTCTGATGATTCACCTATTCATTTGGTTGATAAATATATTATCTTTATTGAAATTGTCACTAATAAAATGCCGTCAGCGTACAAAAAATTACTTGAAATATTTGTGCATGTTTTAAAAAGCAGTTTTTGAACCCTAAAATATATACCTCAAAGAATAATCGCCAGTTAATCAATTATTGATCATTGCAGAATCACATGTGAAAAAATTGAAGTGATATGATGAAATAAGGTCTTGTGTATATTTTTACAGAAAACTGTAGTAGAGATTCAGGATATTGAAGACTTGAAAGAATATGACATCTATATCATTCACTTCTAATAAACTCTCCTTTGATTTTCTTGATAGTTGTTGAGTTTTATTGAGATAACAAAATTAGAATTTGTTTTATCTATCTAAAGGCATAAGCAGATCAACGAGTTTCAGAATCGAAGAATAGTTATGTCCCACCACTATTTTTCTGAGTTGAATGACTCTTTCAGATTGAGGAATGGGAGATTCAACACTTTTGGCCCTTGAAGACAGGTCAATGCTGTAAATGAAGGTCTTGCTAAAATCACAGCCTGGGGAACCAACAACCTAATTGAACTCAATGCCACCAAAACTCAAGCATATATTTTGTCTAGAAAGGTGGAACTCAGTATACCTGATATAACAATGTCTGTTACCACCATTCCTACAAAGTCAACTATATCAATGCTTGGTGTCTCCATCAGCAATCCTCTTTCATGGGATAATCATGTCAGATCCATTGCCGAAAGCTGCTTCACAAAAACTCGGATTTTTATTCCATGCAGAAAGCTACTTTACACCTCAACAGCTTCTCATGATTCACATAGCACAGATATGACCTGTTCTAGAATACTGTTTTAACACATGGGATTCAACACCCCAACGTTCTCTGATGCTCTTAGATTCCACCCAGAGTAGAGCCATTTGCCTTGTGGGTGATGCCACACTCACTAACACATTGACATCACTGGAACACTGTAGAAAGGTCAGCCACCTTTCATTTTTCTATAGATACTTCTAGGAGAAATATTCTTCAGAAATCTCTGCTATCATTCCAAGGCCAATACCAGTCAGACAACTCACTTTGGAAGAAAATTGTTATATTTAACTAGGAAACAAGTTGCCAGAAAAATTATGGATAATTGCACAATTTGAAAAAATATATTTTACTTTTCAAGAAACAGTGTCAACAGTGTCGGATTTTTTTTCCATATTAATATCAGCCATTGATCTGAATGAATGATTCCCATTTAACTACATCAGAAATTATGTTGTTATTGCAAATGAACTTACCAAGTTTGATAGACATTTGATCTAGGAATTAAAAAAAACAAGATTTTTCAAACTTGACACACTCTGTATCTGAAGAACTATGGAACTCCTTTCTTATTTTCTTGCAAGAAATGTATGCTTGAAATTTGTCACAATGTTATGTAACACTGTGCAGATTTTGTTGGAAAGAATGTTCAAGAATGCACTCTAGGAATAATATTATTCGATTTCCCCATTTATTTTGACAAAATAGTTTCAATAACCATAATTCATTTTTTAATTACCAACATTTCCAGAGGAACAAATATTCAGAATCCTGGAAAAATTGGTCTTTTCAACTCTGACATTATTGAATTTCTTCAGATACCTACCTCATGTCTATGAACTTTTATGTCACAAGCTCCCATACTTCCATATTTCAAATTATATTTTGTCATTGAACTCTTTATACAGTGTGTCCCACTTACCATGCTCACCATGGGTATCTTTTTAATGGTGAGAGATACGAGGTCCGTTAAATGACACCAAATGTGGAGTTTGTCAAGGCCAACTATAATGTGAAAAAATATTTTGATAAAATCTTTTCGTTTTTGTTTTATACGCAAAAAACAGATTTTGATCATTTTCATGTCTCCTCCATAACTTCTTTATTTATGAAAATATTCAAATAGGAATTTCACATTCTCATGGCAGTTTTTCAAAGTGATTTCAAAAAACATATGAAATTTATACCAACTCTTCTAGAATTTGAGATATCAGCACCAACTTTAGTTTTTCAAATGTAGGTCAAAGCTCACTATGACTTAGTTACAAATAACTTTTTTTTCTCTTACAGATGATATGTCGCAGTAATAGTTTTGTGTTGATAACAATGGAGTTATCGTCATTTATACAAAAACAAAAAATTATTTGGAAGCCGCCATCTCGAATTTATGAATTTTAACAAAAAATCATAATCTCCGACTTCAAAAACCACCACTTACCAATTTTGAATGGAATCGGACCAAATCTTGTCCGCCATCTTGGAGCAGCCATTTTTTTAATTTCAACAAAAATTCCATAATGTATTGTCAACGAAATTATGGACACCTGCCAAATTTCAAGTTAATCGGAGTAATGGCAAAGTCAGTTCTAAATCATGCCAGATACCTATTGTCAAATTACAACATTTCATGACGAGTCTGATTCAAACGTTTCACTGCATGCCCCATATTATCAATACAACTGGTGTCAACTGTTTTGTAGGTAATGAAACTGCTTTGTTGCTGATTGGCCATAGCCTGTTGTGTAAAGGCTCTTACACAGGGGGCGTGGCTTGTTTTGTGTAATGCATCCAGTTACCCAACAAAAATGTTACATTAAAAGGGTCTAGTTTTCAACAGTCATAGAAAAACAATCACACCAGATGAGGGCCTTTTAATCAATCCAAATAGGAGATGTCAAATGTCAACAGATTGCTTTTGAATTTGAATGAGGTTACACATGCTATTATTTCAAATGATATTCTTCCTTCTTTTCACTAAATATTGATAAATCACAAGAAAATCATATTTCTAGTTGACTTTAATACATAAAAAAATGTGTCATTGAGGTATATTATGATAATATAAATTGTCAAATAAAAAACAAAGGCAAATTGTTCTGAATGTGATCCAAAAGACAGGTGGGAAAAAGGGTGAAATTCGTAACTGTGAAATATCTCAATAAATAATGGTGTGTTCACATTTTCATTATCAAATTCATGTTTTTCAGACAAAACTATGTAAGAACCACAAAAAAATTTAAAAAAAACCATCCCATGATAAATGCAGTTTTACCAATGATTTTTCAGAGAAAAACCAATCACATCATGAGTGCAAAATTACCATATCTTCAACACATGAGACTTTAAAGATAGCACTTTTTTTTTTGAGAAGTTTGTTCCCAGGAGAGTACATACTTTGAGTTTTCTGCTCAATGGTGTCCTCTAACATAGATACTATTTGTTCCTCAGTTATTTCCTTTTCTTTTTGAGGAATGATCCCTTTTGCTCTCAAGATGTCATTCCACTGTGTGTCTTCATTTGGATTCTGAAGGAATTATAAAATTGAATAACTGCATCTCATCCATAATGTTCAGAAGTCTTCACTCACCTGCATAATGCCAAATAAATAAGTCAAGTAGTAGGTGATATTTTGATATTATGCTAATCAATTAGGGACTGAGAAGATGTAGTTAAATTGAGTCTGACTACAAAATACCTCAAGATCTCAAGATATTAATATCACCACAACTATCATCACTGCATCAACCTTAAACTTAACCTCAAATCCAACGGCACCTTCTACCTTCTTCTTCTTCTTTCTTTTCAATGGCCTCTGTTCTTGCAAGAACTGTCAGATGACCGACCCTGGAGTCAAAACATATTTGTTTACAAGTGATCGAAATAGTTTTCCACAATTATTTTGGCATATGAATCGTATTTTTCCGCTATTCATCAATTCGCTAATAATGCCATCACATTGTGCTGTTGTAAAATGCACAAAAACTGCAGCGGAAAATGAAGAAGAAAACTCACATAGTTTTCATTTTTGAAATTTGGTTATTTCTCTGATTTCTCATCGGAATTCCTTCTGCAATAGGATCAGCTAATAGAAATATACCTGAAATTTCTAGAATAATGCAAGAAGATTGGATTCATGCAATCAATCGGTAGGACTGGTCTGACATGCTGACGATCGAGTGTGTTGTAGACATTTTCAATCTATTAGCAGCATTAGCTTGTATTGCAGAAGTGGCAGAAGGCAGAAGGAATTTTAATATGGAATGACAACATTTCATAATGATAACTATGTGAGATTACTATTTACCTGAAAAATCATATTCCCTAGTCTCTTGCTGCATTTTTTGTGCATTGTACAACAGCACAATGCGAAGGCATGCTTGAATTAATGAATAACGCAAGAAACACGATTCGTATGCCAAAATATTGTGAAAAACTATTTCAACCTTTTGATTCCTCTGTGACCAAATGAAAAAGTGAGGTTGTGTTTCAATAATTCACAGAAGAATGAGGTTGTGTTTCAATATTTTGCCTCCAGGGTCGGTAACCTCAGCATTTGAGGTTAGTTACGAATCCTTTAGGTTCTTCATAAAACGTGATAAAACCATATAGATAAAACACTGACAGGCTTGACGTCATGTCGTTCACCTATCTGGATTGATTATCGCCGGAAGAGAAGAACTATAATTATCCTTGCACCTCCCTTACCTTCCTATCCTTGGGTTCACCAAGTCCATAGTTGATAAAGATAAAGGTAAACTTGAATATTTGTTTACAAATGATGGATGTGAAAAATGGAGGATATGATAGAAACATTCGAATTGAAAATGAATGGAGTTGATGTCGAAGTAAGGACGGCGGGCAAACTCAAAACTGTGGAAGTGGGTAAAGTGAAAGAAATGGGAATTAAAAATAGTTAATGTTGACGTCATTATCACAATTTTTTGAAGAATAAACTTTGCAGAAAAAGGAAAATTTAGGACTAGTTCGGTTGGAAGGAATCGATTTCTTCATGCAGAAACGATATTTTTCTTCTCCGAACTCATAACCTTCTGTTCTCACGGATATAAATTTACATGGAAACATATTAAGAGATAAGCAGAGAAGGGAATGGCAGATGACAGGGTTTGTTTCCATAATTTGTGCAACTTCTGCCTCTTTTGAATAATATTTTGTATATTCGATTCGATATGGTTTGAAAAATTAAATTATGGAGATTTCATTTTGCCTAAATCAGTACTGAAGTCGCAGATCTGCTGTTTGATGTGGATGTGATGTGGATATATAGACATATAATTTGACAGGTTTATGTGATTTGATCAAAGAAATACTTCAAATACGACCGACAATTTTATTTTGTAATTTACCAATTAATGTAGCAACTTCATAATACCGAATGAAATTTCATAGGGAAATTTATATTCATTTTGTTTTTATAATGTGCTTTTTTATATGAACAGATTCTGATTGAATGAAATTTTCTACGATTTCTCATCTGATGCTATAAATCGAGTATAAATTAACTGAATATGAGGAAATATGATAAAAAATGTTGCTAAATCACGAAAAAAAGTCGGTAAAATTTCAAAAATTTCGCCCGTGGCAAACTGTCTACTCGTTTTGCTCGCATAACGACTTCTAACGGGTTTTTCATATACGTATTAATAATCAATACGGATAATCTTTTTCCATAGCGAAACATGAAGCCGATTTTTGAAGACAAATGACTATCCATAAGGAAAAGTTTTGAAACGATCAGACACATACTGCTTTGATTGAAAGGCTAGTAAACGTCATTGTCCACCGAAACGCATGTCTTTGATGACTTCTATAATAGCGCATGGCGCATGCGTATCATGCCACCAAATCCTTATGGATATTCATTTGTTTCATATTTTTGGCTTCATCCTGGCACCATATACGTATTAATAATCAATACGGATAATCTCTATCTGTTTCCATAGCGAAACATGAAGCCGATTTTTGAAGACAAATGACTATCCATAAGGAAAAGTTTTGAAACGATCAGACACATACTGCTTTGATTGAAAGGCTAGTAAACGTCATTGTCCACCGAAACGCATGTCTTTGATGACTACTATAATAGCGCATGGCGCATGCGTATCATGCCACCAAATCCTTATGAATATTCATTTGTTTCATATTTTTGGCTTCATCCTGGCACCCGTTATGATCCGTATTGTTTATTAATACGTATATGCCTGGCACCCGTTATGATCCGTATTGTTTATTAATACGTATATGGGGTTTTTACGTATCTTTTCATTCTTTTTGCAACATTTCATTTCATGTTCAGCCAATGACGACTAAATATCTAGACTGTCGTCAGACAGTCCAGATATATAGCCGTCATTGGTTCAGCACTTCAGCAGCTGGCAACACTGTTGAACGTTGAATTTGAGGATTTTGAAGTTTTGTTGTTTGGGTTTTTAATGAATTTGATATTTGGGAGTTGTTTTCCTTTCTATCCTTCCTCATTTAACTGAAATGATTCAAATTCCCTTTGGATTATTCAATTCAAAATTTTTGAACTAAAAAAAAATAAAGAAGGCAGTAGTGTTGTATTTTATTATTAAGTTTGTTGTGAATTGGTGCACTAGTTCAACTTCTATTTCAAGCTTATTAAGAAAAATGGTCAGATGAATCATACCTCTCATCATTTTCAAGAATTCAGAATGTCAAGTACCAGCGTCGAGAATCTAGATGTACAGGTAAGTTTTCAGGTCTAGGTATCCACCTACTTAATCATTGAAGTAACTATTTCCTTGAAGGAATATGATGGTTCTGGTAATATGTGCTTGGAACTTGCACTGGAAGGTGAACGTCTTTGTAAAGCTGGAGATTGCAAAGCAGGAGTGGCATTTTTTCAAGCTGCCATTCAAGCTGGTACTGATGACTTGAGAACATTGAGTGCAATATATAGCCAGCTAGGCAATGCTTACTTTTATTTGGGTGACTATGGAAAAGCCATGCAGTATCACAAACATGATTTAACTCTTGCTAGGTAAAAATTCATATTTATTTTCACTACTAGCTCTATATAACAAACAATTTTTTTCTATCTAGCTACTGATCAATAATAAAAATATATATACTATTGTAAGTAGGTCTTTGCCCCCTTATTTGAATATACAAAGACACTATACTCTCACAAGAGGCAAAGATCACCTTCTATTCTTCTTATGTCCAGACAAGCTTTTAGAGTACTGTTTTCCCCCAACTCCCTCTGCATCCCCCTACCCTGATGTTGTTTAGTTTAGTCATGGGGCAAGGCTTAGCTGTATCTGTGCTGACCAGTGCAAGCTTTATTCCCTATCTAGGTTATTCATTGGCAAGGCCTAAAAAGTATGTGTCTAGCTTCAACAAGACTCAAAATAAGTGTTTTTTTTCTGTGACGGGAAAAAAGTTTGGCATTTCATCTCTGTTGGCAGGTTATAAAATGTCACTTTTCATAAATTACTTTTTCCCCTGGGAAAAAAGTGAGTACTTTTTTCCCAGATATATATCACATATATAATACTCTGTTAATAGCTTTTGTTGTGCTATAGTTCTGAAAAATAAGTCAATAATACCATCTCCGAGAAAGAACTGCAAGTCCTTTTATCTTCCATTCGACTTCCCGGTTTCTTATATTACTAAACAACTACTGAATTCGCAATTTTTTAAAATCAAATCACAGAATTGAACTGACAGAAGTGACATGACATCAGATATTTGATTACTTCAAAAGAATGATGAAGATGTCTATAAAACGCAAGTGTCCCTAATTTTAAAAACTTGAAATTTCAGGTCCATATTTTTCAGATTTCGAAATAATGTAATATCTTCTCAATATTGATTCGTCCTTCCTTCTGTCACAGAAAAAAATAGTGTATTATACACGGGAAAAATATTAGATTTTAGCTCACGGTTTTTTGTCTCCCTCCGCTACGCGTCGGGAGACAACACAACCACTATTTTTTCTCTTCAAAGGAATAATGCTCATATTTTATGTCTGTGCTCCTGCTTGACCCTTCTGAGATTTGTTTGTTTTCTGTCAGCACATCAAGCCCACTGTGAACAATTAAAAGCACTAGATAGGGATGTTGACAATTTTACTCAATGAAATGGTAACATATTTATAACACCACTAGGCCAATTAACACAAACTACTCAATTCCTATATCATTGTTTCAATCAGATATCAGCCTTTTTTAGGGACTAGGATAAGATATATCTGATGGCCCCCTTAAACAGGTACAAACTAATTAAATGGGTGATTCAAAAGCTGTGAACTCAAAACTGAAACTTGTGGTTCTTGAAAATATTTGAAATAGAACTTCAAAATTTTTTTTTCATTTCTCCAACACCACAGGTGAGAACTTCATCTCAGAGTGTTGAAAGCAATTCTTTTAGAGCCAACAGCAGATTGAAAACCACCAGGTGATGCCTTTATTTTGACTTTATTTCCACCTCTTTGAAGACTGTAAGAATCCATCCTGTAATAATGGTTCTTGATACCACACAAATTTTACCTCTTGTAGTGATGAACAAAGAAGATAACTTCTGAGATTGTCTTTTTGATTGTGAAAGATCTATCCACTTCTTTGTCCAGAAACTTATCTCAGAATTCGAATCCTTATTGTTTAAAATTTTCCATCCAGATTGCCTACTGGAAGCCTTATCTGTTTTAGATCCAAAAATGGGCCAAAAAATGATATAATCAGAAAAAACCTGGTAGTTTTCTTCATCAATATTTAAGAGGGTTGAATTGTGAATTCTCCTACCAGAAATTAATAGACAAAGGAATGCCAAGTGTCTTGAAATCTGAAAAAGGCTATCAGATTTGGGCAGATGTGATTTTATCCAATTTATGATAATATTAACATTCCAAATATTAGTATTACATCTAACAGAAGTTTTTGAGCTGATGGCTTTTAGTATTTGTTTTACAGCAGGTTGTGAAGCCAAAAATATTCCTCTTTCTGGATAAGCAAAAGTGTATTCTACTGATTTGTTAACCAAAATGCTTCTGAAGCCAAATTTTTAGAGTTCTACAGAAAACTCAGATACAAAGTTAAATTAATTAATATTAATAATATTAATAGAAAGATTTCTAAAATTTGCCCAAGCACACCAATCTTTCCAAGGACCATTGTAGGTTTTCAAAGTCGATACTCTCCATGAAGATTGTAACAATTATTTTATCTGCTTGATTCCAGCCAAGCACTATGTGACCATGTGGCTCCACCTCAAACTTCTCAGGCCTCCAAACATAATAGCTGAGCCTTCAGAAGGAGTTTTCCAGTTTGTAAGTGCACCAGAATGCATTAGGGGAAGTGATGCTTGGGTTTGAAGGTCCGATCTCCAGAATACCTTCTCCCACTTTGGAGCAATGATTTAATCTTGAAAATAACTTCAAGTCCTCAATTGCTGGCGATCCTCGTTCATGGAAATTGATGATATTATTGTTCATTCTTAGCAGTCTCTCCAATCATATCTTCTTTTCCAACCTCTTCACTAGAATTCCATCTCCTTGATAACAGCCAGTGATATTTCTTGATGAATTCAATTATTTCTTCATACCTATACCCTATTGCTGTAATAGCTGATTCCTTATGGTTCCATTCCAATCCATGCAAGTGTTGACTGGACAATTCTGACCATTCCATATGTTTGAAAACAGTGGAATTGTAATGTGACATCAATGATGAATACCACCATTGTCCACATGAAAATGGCAATTTCTCTGCACAGAAAGTTATGTTTTCCATACTGGAAACCTTGTACGTCAATTATGAAGATTTCATGAAGTCATCTTATTATTTACTATCTTGCAAAAATATTTCGAAATTACCAATTTGCAATGGATACATACGGCAATGTTTTTGTTGTTCATACTCAGTTTGAAATTTGCCGTTGACTTTACGTTGATTTGACGTTTAATAGCGCCACCTAGTGGTTCATGATTTTCGCTAATATGATTTTTGCCCCATCGGTACAACTCTTGTGGAAAACGGAAAAACATACTTTGTACACATAAACAACACACGGCTTGCCAGTTGCCACATTTCATTATGGTAGAAACTTCATTATCTTTCGGTTGCACGGACGACCCGTCGTCATCGTCCGCCGCCATGTTCTTATATTGATGGTTATTTTGAGGCAAACGTCTTTTCAAAACTTGATTGGGTTTGAAACGATGTACTTTTTTAAAGTGTTCTTCATCAAAGAGGTAAGAATTCGATGGTGGGATTTTCTGCAAGAAATGTGGCATTGCAGGGTTAGATCCACTATGATATTTGCAGCGCAAATCTAGAACCTCAGCACGTTTTCCACAAATATACTGCAACAAAGCCTGAAGTCCGAATACAAACTAGTTCATTTGTATGCTTGGGGTGTTTTGTAATGAACTCAGAGAGACCCTCCTAGAAACATTTGGTTGGTTGTTTCAAGATTGCATGACAAGGAGATCCATAGGAAGGATCAGTTTTTGCCAAGAAATCACTATACATATTGGATAAGAAGTTAACACATGAAGATGGAAAATACAGGCAACGCATGATATTTTTTCTGGACATCAATCAGCATACCTTATTTTGTCCCAAGAAGGCTTACCAAACCGTTTACATTCAATTCATTAATTTTTCCTCGAATCTAACAAGACAAACCAGGTTAACTTTATGATGACGTCACGGTAGCCTTATCATGATGTCACGGTTTACTTCTGAAGCTTGACAGATGTTAGTTTATTAGCTGTTTTTGTTTATTGTTTGATTCTAGTAGTAATACTGATATATTGAATGAGAAATTCATCATCTGTGAAAAAAAGATATCAAAGATAGGAGCTAGGTGCTTCCCTACTACAACAATTCGCTGCGTACACATATTTACAATGAATCAAATATTTATTTTCATCAATATGATGAGATCTTTCATTGAAAAAATACTTCGTATGAATCCATATAATTATCTCTTTAAGAAGTATAATTATTTTTTCCTAACAATTATATAATCTCAGATTATAACAACAACAAGAGCCCAATCCAGTGGCCAATCAAAAGCCTTAACTACTCCGTGAACTACCTCAGTGCGCTGGTTTGTATGGTTGGTTAACTATTACGTCATAGTTTGGGATACAATTCGAGGAAAATTGATTGGTTAACTTATTGTTGGCCTGGTTTGTGTGGTTAACTTCGATGAAAAATGGCTTATGTCTTTTCAATTCTGGATCTGGTTCTGGTTAAAGTCACTGGATGGTATTTGTTAGATAAGAGTTCGGACACAGCTGAACTTCTGTCCTTTTCTATTTTCTATATTACATTGTTTTCAGTGAATAAAAGAATAAGACATATATTCTGCTCTTTGGCTATTCAATTTCCCTAGTAGCACCTGATTGTCAGATAGGATTTCAGGAGTTAAATTTTCTGTCAAATCGATCATAGCCGTAGATAGAAAATAAAAATAGGGTTTAAACACCCACTTCACACTTTTCACAGAACAACAGTTATAAAAATGAAAAGGATGCATCTAACAACATTTTAATATCCCAAAATAGACACATATGGATATATTCTAGTTCCATATTGTATGTAATACTGTACTTGAGTGATAATGTTTAAAATATGAAGACAGATCTTGTCCCTCTTCCGTTAAGTGTTCTACTTTCATTTTCAAATATTTGAAAGTTTTCACAAAATTCACGAGTTCAAAGTTATGTACTCAATTTTCGTAGATAGGGTCCTGATTGACGGAAGAGGAAACTTCATTTTAGAAGGTGTTTTTTGTATAGTAAGTATATTTGATGGCAAACGCTATATTTATTGTTTTGGTTTTCCACCTTTTCCTGTATTCAGTTTCCACTGATAAATTTTGAATTTGGTCGATATTGAAAACGTCATTCAATGATATATATCACGTTGCAATTAACTTGATTTCCTCAGTTTCAACCTCAAATTTTCAATTTCATGATGTAGTTTTGCAATCAATTCCTCTTTCTCCATGATAATTTTGTTCTGCATGTCG